TAAACTCTCATGCTAAGAGGAAAACCGAATCTGTCAGTCTAAGACCTGCTACTTCTGAGAAGTTAAATCTACTTGTTTCTTAGACTCTATATGTTTCTCTCTATTCCATAATTTATGATGGATCTGATTTGGAATAGACACTTTGTTTAAAGTGGGGGTGTCCAACCTTGGCAATTTAAAGACTTGTGGACTTTAACATGGCTGACTGGAGAATTCTCGGAGTTAGGGTTAATGTTGCCAAGGTTGAACATCCCTGCTTTAAACAGTTCCAACAGATATTGATTGAAGGTAACATCTTCTGAATCAGGTCCTCTAAAGTTTGGAATAAATGTCTACCTTTTAGAGGAAATGAAATGTGCCACTTTTGAGAAAGTTAAACCAAAGAAAATTGAAGCCTGAAGACTGAAAGTTGGCTTTGGATCTCCTTGATCATTAGATCAAGGTTATGGGACAATTTGCTTCTAGGTAGCTACAAGTGGAGCATCCAAAAAAGAAAAAAGAAAGAAGGATGACGAGTTAGGTCAGAGTAATTTGATGCTTGAAATCTGCCCAGAGGTTTGATCTTTTGTGTCTCCATCATCACAACAGGGAGAAAGGAAGGAAGATCCACAACAATCGTATTTCTTACGTGCCAGCCCTGACCCCGTTGGGTTAATACATTCCACAGGCTGGTTGTTTACTTCTCATTAAGCTAAATGTTTTATGCAAATCATCTGACATAAAGCCAGACGACCAATCTAGGAAGGCTGTAATTCCATCTGATGAGTTCATTCAAATGAAATCTGTACTTAATTTCCATAATTATGCTCCCCTATTCTCATAATGTGAACTGATTGCTACAAAAATACAAAATAACCAAGATGCATTTAGATTTAAAATATGAAAATGATAAGTCCCTATGGGCACAAGAATTCTGTTTTACAAACAGTTTCTCTGTTTTTTAAAAAATCCCTTTCTTCTCCCTGCCCTCCCAGTATATTATTATTATTTATTTAAGGCCGAATTGTGCTGACTGGTGATAAAATGACCCTGACATGATTTGTCTTGGCTTGATGAGAAAAAAATCAGAAGACAACATTTAGCAGAAAATGTGTAATTATATTAATGGGCTTCGCTGTGGTGTTTTAGAGGTGACCATCATTACAGCCACACAGCTGAAACCCAACACAAACTGTGCTGCCTGCTGCTGACAACCCTTAAGTAGTTTCTTAATTAGAAAATCAACCCAATTAAGTCATCACAATATCAGTCAAAGCATTGAACAGAATGAATGCAGCTCCCTCTAGCCTGGCTCTCAAAATGAGCAAAAACTGCTATCTAGGAGACAAGGAGCCAATTTACAATGAAATGTGGAAAAAGAGGGAATGTTGTGATAGTACCGCTTTATATTGCCCTGGTTCTGGTTGCCATGATACAAAAGAGATGTTGAGACCCTAGAAAGAGTGCAGAGAAGAGCAACAAAGACGATTAAGGAATTGGAGGCTAAAACATACAGCGAATGGCTAAGGGAGCTAGGTATGTCTACTCTAGCCCATTGAAGAGAAGGCTTAGGAGGGAGAAGATAGGAGTCTTCCAGTATTTGAGGGTCTATCATAGAGAAGAATGAGTCAACTTATTCTCCAAGTACCAGAAGGAAGGATAAGAAATAACGGCTGGAGGATCATGAAAGAGAGAACCAACCTAGAACTAAGGAGAAATTTCCTGACAGAACAATTAATCAGTGGAACAACTTGCATCCTGAAGTTGTGGGTGCTCCATCACTGGAGGTTTTCAAGACAATGGACAGCCATTTGTCCAGAATAGTATAGGGTCTCCTGCTTGAGCACAGAGTTGGCCTAGAAGACCCCAAGGTCCCTTGCAATCCTATCATGACCTATGTTTTTCAAGAAGACTCTGTTTTGGTAGGTACATGCAAAAGGTCCCAAAGTCAGTTTGTGGTCTCTGTAGTCAAGCTGGAAACCTTCAACTCTTCACATCTTAACTAAACCCATGAAATAGTAAACCTTAATAGCCAATGAGGGCTCTACACTAGGTTGTAATACATTTTGCACTAAGCCATACTTTATTCGGGTCTATAGCATTTGTCTAAAGTTACTTTATGTTGTCAAGGAGCTGCCTGTTCCTTTGTTCTAGTATGAAGAACTTTCTCTTTTCAAGTAAGATGTCCTTGAGTCAAACTTTGCTCCTGAAGACCTGAAGACAGATACAACCATTCAGGATTGATATTTTATGATTAGTTGTTTTTGCTTGGTTGAATGTTGCATCCAAAGCTCAAGAATGTATCTTCAGAGATGATACAAATGCTCCATGAATGTTTGTGCTCTCTGAAATAAATGAGGTGTTTAAGAACAAGAGATAATAACTATCCAGCAGTTTATGGAACAGTCAACCAATGCTGTAAAGAGCTTATGGACTATGAGATTCCCGCTGGCTGTATCTTCTGAAATTGGACTGCTTCCTGCAATGTTGTCATTGTTGATGTTAATAGTGGTGAGTTAATCTAGATGAAATGAAATTTTTCCCCTAATTCAATTAGTGTAATTTCACCTGAAGCATCTAAGCTCAACTGTTCACTCTGTGAATTAAAAGAGTTTCAAGGTTGCTCATAGCCAGAAGATTTACTTTACGCAGTTTTCTTTGGAGCCTAAAAAAAATATTGTTCCGTAACTCACATCCTGCCATTTTTTACAGCTGTACAAAGCTCTTTTAACAGAACTAATGATACCTTTCTCTTGAATGAAGCATAATAAATAACAGGTAGTCTTGAATCAATGCTTTGCCACAGTTGAGCAGTTGATGAAAGCAAGTGGAGGAAGGTGTCACTGGTTCTGAAAAAGGTCATAGCAGAATTCTTTTTTTGGGTGGACAGTTCTTTTAAACTCACATTCTGCATTTGCACAGGGGCTTTCTCATCTTTTCTTGCAAAATGTTTTTGCCCTCTGACATGTTGATTTGAAGAAAACCAAGTATCCTACATTTTCTTCCAAAGAATGACAATAGTGAAACTCACTAGTAGTGACACTCACATTCTCAATCTCTGTGCCCTTCAGAGGTGTAGACAAATCTTGAGGGTGCCTTAATTGAGAAGTAAATTACTGCTACTTGCCTAAACCAAAGAAAACAAGAACTCAAATCTCAGAAATGATCAGGAATACCATCAAACCACAATAATTCAACACACTTCAAAAAGGACTCCATCGATGATGATTCCAAAACTGTTTTTAAGGAGATTCAGTCAGCATCTTAAGTCAACATTCATAAACACATGAAGTGTACTTCTATGAACACATCATCACATTTTTTCCAAGTCCATTTTTTTTTATTTATTAGATTTTTTTTTTAAAATTTGATTTATATGCCGCCCTTCTCCGAAGACTCAGGGCGGCTTACAATGCGTTAAGCAATAGCCTTCATCCTTTTGTATATTTATACAAAGTCAGCTTATTGCCCCCACAACTGGGTCCTCATTTCACCTACCTTAGAAAGGATGGAAGGCTGAGTCAACCTTGAGCCTTGGCGAGATTCGAACCCTGCAGTAATTGCAGGCAGCTGGTCTTAATAACCAGCTTAATAACAGGGTGCCTTAAACCCCTGTACTACCAAGATTTATGTGCCACCCATCTCATCTAGAGGCGACTAGTTGTGTGTGCATGTGTCTGTATATCCAAAGTTCTTCATAGATTGGGAATATTCCAGATTTGGGACATTTAATCAGATTAACCCAAATGTAAGACATTTTCTCAGATGTACATTTGAGTTTATTTCATGGCTCTTTGCCTTGATATTGTGATTTTGTGAAGGGCTAGAAAAATAAGCAAGTTGTTTGCTTGTTGTCACAGAGACAATAGGGTAATGAAGTAAGCCTTTCTAGGATGGTGCTCCCCAACAGAAGGAACAACCGAAGAAGTGAGTCTGGTACTCCTCCTCAACTCCACAGCAGGATCACAAACATAGTCATGGAAGTTTTCAATATTTTATTGTTTCTTTAACATAAGCCAGCTGCAACAGTTTCTACAATTTAAAATCATAACACAGTGCAAAAGATAAAATACATAAAGGATCAGGCAATATTTTAAGGATGGTAAATTATAATTATAAAGATTGGGCTAAATGGTTCACTAATTTAAAGTGACATTTTTGATTAAAAAAAAGGGAAGGTATAAAAGAAACTAGTTTCTTAATTACTTCCAGAAAAGGCCAGAGGCTGACATCAAAAGATTTCTCTCAGAAAAACGAAAACACAAGTGTAATGTTCAAACACATGAATATCACAACAGATCTCTCTTTTGCTTAACCTGGAGATAAGATGGTGCTATGGTATCATGGTGCTATGACAAGGATATATAAAATCAGGGAACAGATAAAACATCTTACCATAAGCATCACACCTACTTAACAACAGTAAATCAGAGTAAAACTCAGTTATATGTCAAAAAATACATGTCAAATGAAATGTTACCAAGCATGAATCCAGTTTAATGATTTTGGAGGAACAAAAGTGACAAATGTTTATGATAACAAAAGCAAATCAAAATTCTTGAGGGCCCCATACAGTACATGATTAATATTTATCAGTCAAAAATATAATTTATACATGGCTAAAATTATCCCAAAGTAGAAAATTAGAAATCTTTTATCAATCATTGGCCATACCTATCATTAAAAAGGGCCACTGAGATTTTCTTTCTGGTTCTAAGAACCATAGCCATGAGTAAAATTATGCATGGCAAGAAAACTATAATAAATTATCAACCACCGGCCATACCTATCTTAAAAAGAGCTGATGATATTTTTCCTGGTTCTTTTTTTTTTCCCCGATTTAAAACAAACTTTATTCAATATAAATCAAATTTAAATATATATATATATATAAAAAGATAAAAATTATACAAAAAGTTCTTAACTCTAAAAATACATTCAAAACTACTTATAAACAAACTAACAAACAGGATTACCTGTCTTTAATTTATAAGTATGTAAATATATACATTAACCTTTGCTTCTTTTATCTTAATGATGGTGTATATTTGTTACCTTTGATTTCTTACTATATTTGACGTTACTTTTTTTCCCATTGGTTAATCCAATCATACCATCTGTCCCATACTTTGAAATACTGTGAGTCTTCCGTATCATTTAATTTTAAAGTTAATCTATCCATTTCTGCGCATATAAATATCTTTTGGATTATTTGCTGATCTGTTGGCAACTGTTCTGATTTCCAGGATTGAGCTAAAGTTAATCTGGCCGCCGTGATTATATGTAACGTAATGTACTTTATTTCCTTTCTACTACTTTTTTTGAGTATACCTAACAGGAAAATCTCAGGTTTTAAATCAATATCTTCTTCCGTTATTTCTATTATCCAGATTCTAATTTTTATCCAAAATTTCTTAATTTTTGGGCAAAGCCACCAGAGATGATAAAAGGTTCCCTGTATTTGTTTACATTTCCAGCATATCAGGTTGAAATTTGCAGACATCTTTGCCAATCTCGCCGGGGCTAGATACCATCTGTACTACATTTTATAATGGTTCTCTTTATATGTTGTTGCTTTTGTTATTCTACAATTATTTTCCCATATCATTTCCCATTCTTCCAATTGTATGTTTCTTCCAATATTCCTAGCCTAAGCTATCATTTGACCTTTAACTATGTTTTCTGCCAAATTGAATTCTAATAGATATTTGTAAAACTTTGATATTATTTTTCCCTCTTTGGTTTCTAATAATTTATCTAACTGGTTAGGTTTTATTTCAACTCCTCCTTCTTCGTCTTTTTTGTATCTGGTTTGTATTAACAGGTAAGGCCACCAGTCCATTTCTATACCCTGGTCTCTGAGCTCCTGCCGTGTTTTTAGTCTTCCATGTACATCCAGGACATCTTTATATTGTATTATTTTTTGGATGGCTGATATATTGGGATATATTGCTGCCTCTAATGTAGATATCCAGCCTGGGACTTTCATATAATGTTTATTTTTAATTTCCAACCAGGTGCCAATTAGTGAGTCTCTTTATTATATGATTTTTGAAATGTTTGTATGTTTTATTTCCAATATTCCACAGATAAGCATGCCACCCTTTTAATAAATCGTGGCCTTCCAATTTCAATATTCTTTGTTTATCCAAATTGACCCAATCCTTAATCCAAATCAAACTCGCTGCTTTATAATATTTTTCCCAGGCTGGTACGCCAAAGCCTCCTCTAGTTCTATCATCCTGTAATATTTTTTAAATTTATCCTTGGTTTTTTCCCATCCCATATAAATTTTGAGATTATTTTATTCAGATTTGTGAAGAAGTTTTTCTCTAATTTGACCGGAATAGTTTGGAACAAGTAGAGGAGCCTTGGGACTATGTTCCTCTTTATTGCCGCAATTCTTCCTATCTTAAAAAGAGCCAATGATATTTTTCCTGGTTCTAAGGACCATCACCATGCCTAAATTAAGCCAGGCAAGGATCTACTCAGTTTCAATGGCCACAACTAGAATTAAAAATGGCCACAGAGAATTATTTTCTGACTAGGAACTAACCACTTCCTAATATATAGACTGATGGCCATACCTCGTATTGAAGTGCATAATAAGGTTTACTTTGGATTCTAAGAGGTCTGGCTGTTACTGGAATTATTTCTAAGGGTGTGAAGGTGGGAGGGAGGTGATCCAAAAGGATTCCCTTTCAGTATGAGACTCACTTGGTGATCCTCAGGAACTGGAAGAGGCTTTTAGCAGAATGCTAAAGATTCAACAGCCACAGCTAGCATTAAAATGGGCTGCTGAGTTCTTCATTCTGGTTCTAAGAACCATTGCCACGGTCAAAATTACACCAGGCAAGAAAACTATAAATCCTATTCTCAATCAACAGCCGCAGATAGCATTAATAATGGCCGTTTAGGTTTTCTTTCTGGTTCTAAGAACCCAGCCATGGCCAAAATTACACCAAGCAAGAAAACTAATTGGTATTTCCACTCCTCTGCCCAGGAATCGTTGTCTCTTTCCAGGAAGAAGACATTTGACCTTGTTCCTCCCCTCACTTTGTGAAGCTATAAAATCTATTATCGTTCAACAGCCACTCCTAGCATTAAAATGGGCTGCTGAGTTCTTCATTCTGGTTCTAAGAACGATCGGCATGGCCAAAATTACGCCAGGCAAAAAAATATATAAAAAATTTATTATCAACAGCCACACCTACCATTAAAATGGGCTGTTCAGGTTTTTTTTTTTTTGTTGGTTCTAAGAACCATCGCCACGGCCAAAATTACACCAGGCAAGGAAACTATAAAACTATTACCAATCAGCAGTCACACCTAGCATGAATAATGGTCGTTGATGTTTTCTTTCTGGTTCTAAGAACCTTCACCATGGCCAAAATTACACCAAGAAAACTAATTGGTATTTCCACAATCCACAGCCACACCTATCGTTAAAATGGGGCCATAGAGATTTTCTTCTTGGTTTTAAGAATTACTGCCATGGCTAAAATTATGCCAGACCATAAAACTATACAATCTTTTATCAAGATCAGCCACACCTCCCATTAAAAAGTGTGGTGTCCTGTGTTAATGAAGCTGACATGCTCTGGGGGATTCTTCTACAGGCTTGTTTTGATTCACTTCATAAAGTAGCAGTCTTCATGAAGATCATATTCATTCTTGCTTTCCATTTTCACCATCAACACTGCAGGCTGACAACTGACTCTTCTGTCTTCTTAGATGGTGTGGTACATGCCTTTGAGATAAAACAACAACATTACTTCAGCTGCCATTGCAGTTTTACTACTAATATACAATCCAACCATGGTTACTATGATATTACCTCAGGCAGAGCTGTTATCTTATTCCCTAGGAAAACTGGTTAGGGAAGATAACCCCCCCTCCATATCCTAATATTTAGAAAACACAACTAAAATTACCTCACTTTGTTCAAGGCCAGATCACAACCGAAGTCTTAAGAGGTCGGGCTGTGGATATTTTCTTGCTCTCTTGTTTCTTCTTCTTTCTCTTGTTTCTTCCACTCCTCTGCCCAGGAATCGTTGTCTCTTTCCAGGAAGAAGACATTTGGCTTGTTCCTCCCCTCACTTTGTGAAGCTATAAAATCTATTATCGTTCAACAGCCACTCCTAGCATTAAAATGGGCTGCTGAGTTCTTCATTCTGGTTCTAAGAACGATCGGCATGGCTCAAATTATGCCAGGCAAGAAAAGTATAAAATCTATTATCAACAGCCACACCTAGCATTAATAATGGCCGAGGAGATCTTCTTTCTGGTTCTAAGAACCATCGCCATGGCCCAAATTACGCCAGGCCTGAAAACTAATTAGTATTGCCATAATCCACAGTCACAGCTACCATTAAAATGGGGCCATAAATATTTTCTTCTTGGTTTTAAGAACCACTGTCATGGCTAAAATTATGCCAGACCATAAAACTATACAATCTTTTATAAAATACCGACCACACCTTGCATTAAAAAGTGTGGTGTCCTCTGTTAATGAAACTGACATGCTTTGGGGGATTTTTCTACAGGCTCATTTTGATTTACTTCGTGAAAAGGCATTCTTGCTTTCCATTCCTCTTCCATTTTCACCATCAACACTGCAGGCTGACAACTGACTCTTCTGTCTTCTAAGACAGTGTAGTACATGCCCCTTTGAGATTAAAACAAAAACAAAAACCAACATTACTTCAGCTGCCAGTCGTTTTACTACTAAGAATATACAATCCACCTTGGTTACTATTTCCTCAGACAGAAGTGTTATCTTACTTAGTAAGAATGGACTGTCAGTTAGTCGATGATCATCCTCCCCCTCCATATACTAAAAATTTGAAGAATAAGAGACACGGCTAAAATTACCTCAGCGTGTAGAAGCCACATCACAGCTGAAGGCCAAGGCGGCTTGAGCTGTGGATATTTTCTTGCTCTCATTTCTTTTTTTCTTCTTTTTCTTCTTTCTTCCTCTCTTGTGCTCAGCAAGCATTGTCTCTTTCCAGGAACAAGACATTTGGCAGCAGGATTTCACTTGTTCCTCCCTCAGTCTGTGAAGCTGGAAACTATAAAATCTTTTATTTCTCAATGGCCTCACCTAGCATTAAAATGGGCCACTTAAGCTTTTGTTTCTGGTTCTAAGAACCATTGCCATAAGCAAAATTACACCTGGCTAGAAAAGAATAAAATCTATTGTCAATCACCAGCCACACCTAACATTAAAAGGGGCTGTTAAGTTGTCTGTTTTGTTCTAACAAACATTGCCATGGCTAAATTATTTCAGGCAAGAAAACTACAACTGCACTGAGAATGATGATCATTGGCTGTGTGTGAAATTTGATAGACTAAAGGTGTAAAGTAGGGAGGGGGGTGATCCAGAAGGATTCCCTTCCAGTATGATCCTCAGGGACTGGGAGAGGCTAGTGGGGCCCTCTCAACTCTTAAGAACCACAGCCAGGGTTAAAATTACACCAGGCCAAAAAAGTAATGAGAATTTTAGTAATCCATGGCCACAGCTTGCATTGAAAAGGTCCATAGAGATTTTCTTTCTGGTTTTAAGAACCATTACCAGATCTAGGACTAAGCAGGCAAGAAAACTATGAAATTTTTTATACATCATGGGCCATACCTAGCATTAAAAAAAAGCTGCTGAGATTTTCTCCCTAGTTCTAAGAACCATCACCTAAAATTATACCAGGCAGAAAAATATAAAATCTATTTCCAATCACTGGTTCCACCTAGAATTAATGTATGTGGTGTGCTGTCTTAATGAGACTAACATATGTTTTGTGTGATTCTTCTACAGGTCAATTTTCATTTACTTGATGAAGTAGCATTCTTGATGAAAATCAGATTCATTCTTGTTTTCTATTCATTCCTCTTCCATTTTCACCATCAACACTGCAGGCTGACAACTGATTCTTCTGTTTTCCTAGATGGTGTAGTACATGCCTTTGAGATAAAAGAAAAACAATGTTGCTTCAGTTGCCATTGGAGTTTACAACTAAGAATACAAAATACAATGTAGTTACTGTTTTCTCAGAAGCAAGTGTTATGTTACTCCCAAGGAACAATGTATCCCCAACAGTGGATGATTATCTGTCCGCTCCATTTCGAAGAATAAGAAACTCAGCTAAAATTACCTAAGGATATAGAAGGCCAGATCAAAACCGAAGGCCTTGCTCTCTTGTTTCTTCTTTTCTTCTTTCTAGTTTCTTCCTTTCCTCTGCCAAGGAATCGTCGTCTCTTTCCAGTAAGACGACATTTGGCTTGTTCCTACCCTCAGTCTGTGAAGCTACAATGGTATAAAATCTATGATCCATCAAAAGCCACACCTAGAATTAAAATGGTCTCCTGAGTTTCTTTCTGGTTCTAAGAACCATTACCATGGCCTAAATTACGCCAGGCAAAAATATTATAAAATCTATTATCCATCAACAGCCATACCTATAATTAAAATGGGCTGCTGAGTTTCTCTTTCTGGTTCTAAGAACCATTGCCATGGCCCAAATTACGCCAGGCAAAAATACTATAAAATCTATGATCCATCAACAGCCACACCTAGAATTAAAATGGGCTGCTGAGTTTCTCTTTCTGGTTCTAAGAACCATTGCCATGGTCCAAATTACACCAGGCAAAAATAGTATAAAATCTATTATCCATCAACAGCCACACCTAGAATTAAAATGGCCTGCTAAGTTTTCGTTTCTGGTTCTAAGAACCAACCATGGCCCAAATTACGCCAGGCAAAAATAGTATAAAATCTATATCCATCAACAGCCACACTAGAATTAAAATGGGCTGCTGAGTTTTCTTTCTGGTTCTAAGAACCATTGCCATGGCCCAAATTACGCCAGGCAAAAATAGTATAAAATCTATGATCCATCAACAGCCACACCTAGAATTAAAATGGGCTGCTGAGTTTCTCTTTCTGGTTCTAAGAACCACTGCCATGGCCCAAATTACGCCAGGCAAAATATAGTAAAATCTATGATCCATCAACAGCCACTCCTAGAATTAAAATGGGCTGCTGAGTTTCTCTTTCTGGTTCTAAGAACCATTGCCATGGCCCAAATTACGCCAGGCAAAAATACTATAAAATCTATGATCCATCAACAGCCACACCTAGAATTAAAATGGGCTGCTGAGTTTCTCTTTCTGGTTCTAAGAACCATTGCCATGGCCCAAATTACGCCAGGCAAAAATAGTATAAAATCTATTATCCATCAACAGCCACACCTAGAATTAAAATGGGCTGCTGAGTTTCTCTTTCTGGTTCTAAGAACCATTGCCATGGCCCAAATTACGCCAGGCAAAAATACTATAAAATCTATGATCCATCAACAGCCACACTAGAATTAAAATGGGCTGCTGAGTTTCTCTTTCTGGTTCTAAGAACCATTGCCATGGCCCAAATTACGCCAGGCAAAAATAGTATAAAATCTATTATCCATCAACAGCCACACCTAGAATTAAAATGGGCTGCTGAGTTTCTCTTTCTGGTTCTAAGAACCATTGCCATGGCCCAAATTACGCCAGGCAAAAATAGTATAAAATCTATTTTCCATCAACAGCCACACCTAGAATTAAAATGGGCTGCTGAGTTTCTCTTTCTGGTTCTAAGAACCATTGCCATGGCCCAAATTACGCCAGGCAAAAATAGTATAAAATCTATGATCCATCAACAGCCACACCTAGAATTAAAATGGGCTGCTGAGTTTCTCTTTCTGGTTCTAAGAACCATTGCCATGGCCCAAATTACGCCAGGCAAAAATACTATAAAATCTATGATCCATCAACAGCCACACCTAGAATTAAAATGGGCTGCTGAGTTTCTCTTTCTGGTTCTAAGAACCATTGCCATGGCCCAAATTACGCCAGGCAAAAATAGTATAAAATCTATTATCCATCAACAGCCACACCTAGAATTAAAATGGGCTGCTGAGTTTCTCTCTCTGGTTCTAAGAACCATTGCCATGGCCCAAATTACGCCAGGCAAAAATAGTATAAAATCTATGATCCATCAACAGCCACACCTAGAATTAAAATGGGCTGCTGAGTTTCTCTTTCTGGTTCTAAGAACCATTGCCATGGCCCAAATTACGCCAGGCAAAAATAGTATAAAATCTATTATCCATCAACAGCCACACCTAGAATTAAAATGGGCTGCTGAGTTTCTCTTTCTGGTTCTAAGAACCATTGCCATGGCCCAAATTACGCCAGGCAAAAATAGTATAAAATCTATTGATCCATCAACAGCCACACCTAGAATTAAAATGGGCTGCTGAGTTTTCTTTCTGGTTCTAAGAACCATTGCCATGGCCCAAATTACGCCAGGCAAAAATAGTATAAAATCTATGATCCATCAACAGCCACACCTAGAATTAAAATGGGCTGCTGAGTTTCTCTTTCTGGTTCTAAGAACCATTGCCATGGCCCAAATTACGCCAGGCAAAAATACTATAAAATCTATGATCCATCAACAGCCACACCTAGAATTAAAATGGGCTGCTGAGTTTCTCTTTCTGGTTCTAAGAACCTGCCATGGCCCAAATTACGCCAGGCAAAAATAGTATAAAATCTATTATCCATCAACAGCCACACCTAGAATTAAAATGGGCTGCTGAGTTTCTCTTTCTGGTTCTAAGAACCATTGCCATGGCCCAAATTACGCCAGGCAAAAATAGTATAAAATCTATTATCCATCAACAGCCACACCTAGAATTAAAATGGGCTGCTGAGTTTCTCTTTCTGGTTCTAAGAACCATTGCCATGGCCCAAATTACGCCAGGCAAAATAGTATAAAATCTATTATCCATCAACAGCCACACCTAGAATTAAAATGGGCTGCTGAGTTTCTCTTTCTGGTTCTAAGAACCATTGCCATGGCCCAAATTACGCCAGGCAAAAATAGTATAAAATCTATTATCCATCAACAGCCACACCTAGAATTAAAATGGGCTGCTGAGTTTCTCTTTCTGGTTCTAAGAACCATTGCCATGGCCCAAATTACGCCAGGCAAAAATACTATAAAATCTATGATCCATCAACAGCCACACCTAGAATTAAAATGGGCTGCTGAGTTTCTCTTTCTGGTTCTAAGAACCATTGCCATGGCCCAAATTACGCCAGGCAAAAATACTATAAAATCTATGATCCATCAACAGCCACACCTAGAATTAAAATGGGCTGCTGAGTTTCTCTTTCTGGTTCTAAGAACCATTGCCATGGCCCAAATTACGCCAGGCAAAAATAGTATAAAATCTATTATCCATCAACAGCCACACCTAGAATTAAAATGGGCTGCTGAGTTTCTCTTTCTGGTTCTAAGAACCATTGCCATGGCCCAAATTACGCCAGGCAAAAATAGTATAAAATCTATTATCCATCAACAGCCACACCTAGAATTAAAATGGGCTGCTGAGTTTCTCTTTCTGGTTCTAAGAACCATTGCCATGGCCCAAATTACGCCAGGCAAAAATAGTATAAAATCTATTATCCATCAACAGCCACACCTAGAATTAAAATGGGCTGCTGAGTTTCTCTTTCTGGTTCTAAGAACCATTGCCATGGCCCAAATTACGCCAGGCAAAAATACTATAAAATCTATGATCCATCAACAGCCACACCTAGAATTAAAATGGGCTGCTGAGTTTCTCTTTCTGGTTCTAAGAACCATTGCCATGGCCCAAATTACGCCAGGCAAAAATAGTATAAAATCTATTATCCATCAACAGCCACACCTAGAATTAAAATGGGCTGCTGAGTTTCTCTTTCTGGTTCTAAGAACCATTGCCATGGCCCAAATTACGCCAGGCAAAAATACTATAAAATCTATTATCCATCAACAGCCACACCTAGAATTAAAATGGGCTGCTGAGTTTCTCTTTCTGGTTCTAAGAACCATTGCCATGGCCCAAATTACGCCAGGCAAAAATAGTATAAAATCTATTATCCATCAACAGCCACACCTAGAATTAAAATGGGCTGCTGAGTTTCTCTTTCTGGTTCTAAGAACCATTGCCATGGCCCAAATTACGCCAGGCAAAAATAGTATAAAATCTATTATCCATCAACAGCCACACTAGAATTAAAATGGGCTGCTGAGTTTCTCTTTCTGGTTCTAAGAACCACTGCCATGGCCAAATTACGCCAGGCAAAAATAGTATAAAATCTATTATCCATCAACAGCCACACCTAGAATTAAAATGGGCTGCTGAGTTTCTCTTTCTGGTTCTAAGAACCATTGCCATGGCCCAAATTACGCCAGGCAAAAATAGTATAAAATCTATTATCCATCAACAGCCACACCTAGAATTAAAATGGGCTGCTGAGTTTCTCTTTCTGGTTCTAAGAACCATTGCCATGGCCCAAATTACGCCAGGCAAAAATAGTATAAAATCTATTATCCATCAACAGCCACACCTAGAATTAAAATGGGCTGCTGAGTTTCTCTTTCTGGTTCTAAGAACCATTGCCATGGCCCAAATTACGCCAGGCAAAAAATAGTATAAAATCTATTATCCATCAACAGCCACACCTAGAATTAAAATGGGCTGCTGAGTTTCTCTTTCTGGTTCTAAGAACCATTGCCATGGCCCAAATTACGCCAGGCAAAAATAGTATAAAATCTATTATCCATCAACAGCCACACCTAGAATTAAAATGGGCTGCTGAGTTTCTCTTTCTGGTTCTAAGAACCATTGCCATGGCCCAAATTACGCCAGGCAAAAATAGTATAAAATCTATTATCCATCAACAGCCACACCTAGAATTAAAATGGGCTGCTGAGTTTCTCTTTCTGGTTCTAAGAACCATTGCCATGGCCCAAATTACGCCAGGCAAAATAGTATAAAATCTATTTTCCATCAACAGCCACACCTAGAATTAAAATGGGCTGCTGAGTTTCTCTTTCTGGTTCTAAGAACCATTGCCATGGCCCAAATTACGCCAGGCAAAAATAGTATAAAATCTATGATCCATCAACAGCCACACCTAGAATTAAAATGGGCTGCTGAGTTTCTCTTTCTGGTTCTAAGAACCATTGCCATGGCCCAAATTACGCCAGGCAAAAATACTATAAAATCTATGATCCATCAACAGCCACACCTAGAATTAAAATGGGCTGCTGAGTTTCTCTTTCTGGTTCTAAGAACCATTGCCATGGCCCAAATTACGCCAGGCAAAAATAGTATAAAATCTATTATCCATCAACAGCCACACCTAGAATTAAAATGGGCTGCTGAGTTTCTCTTTCTGGTTCTAAGAACCATTGCCATGGCCCAAATTACGCCAGGCAAAAATACTATAAAATCTATGATCCATCAACAGCCACACCTAGAATTAAAATGGGCTGCTGAGTTTCTCTTTCTGGTTCTAAGAACCATTGCCATGGCCCAAATTACGCCAGGCAAAAATACTATAAAATCTATGATCCATCAACAGCCACACCTAGAATTAAAATGGGCTGCTGAGTTTCTCTTTCTGGTTCTAAGAACCATTGCCATGGCCCAAATTACGCCAGGCAAAAATAGTATAAAATCTATTATCCATCAACAGCCACACCTAGAATTAAAATGGGCTGCTGAGTTTCTCTTTCTGGTTCTAAGAACCATTGCCATGGCCCAAATTACGCCAGGCAAAAATAGTATAAAATCTATGATCCATCAACAGCCACACCTAGAATTAAAATGGGCTGCTGAGTTTCTCTTTCTGGTT